CGCCACGACTTACAGATGACACCCGAGTCAGCGCCATGCCAGTGGCCCGGTTACACAATCAACCTGGCCCCACACGGGGAAGCCTTGCGCTCCCGGGGTGCTGACTGGCCACTGGCCTGCTGCAGGCTCACAAAGGGAGCTGCACGCCCAGCACTCTGTGGGCACAGCACTCGGTGGACCGTGCTGAGCTTCGCATTCGTTCCTGGGACCTTTTGTTCCGGGAAGGCCCGGCACGTTCTCCCACCAGACCTGCTGGCTCTGGGCTTCCTCCCAGCACCCTGCCCTGCACTCCGCATACAGAAGCTCGAGGATGTGCCTTAGCGAGGCTTTGAGACGCTGTAGGAAAGCAGAGGGAGCACCGTGTGTGCGGTCTCGTGGGCAGCCAGCGCCCGGCAGCCAGCGCGGAACCTGGCTCACTGGCAGTTAATTTAGAGAGGAGGGGCAGTGCTCGTGCTCTGGGCAGAGGGGGAAGGCGTCCGAGTCACTGCAGTCCCGGGGTTCGGATGTTCCTGTGCTGTAAGAGAAGCTGTGTCAGGAATGAGGATCAGCCTTTCCGGCACCTTCCCCTCCAATCGGTGCCGTCGGTGGGGCCTGGTTAGGGTGCTGTAGAGGGTGGCCGGACAGCTCAGCCTGCTGGGGGGTGACCGCGGCCCAGAGCTGCTCTCCGTGCAGTAAGTTCCTGAGTAGCACCGGAGTGCTGGCTTTGTGACAGGTCCTTTGTCATGTTTCAGAAAACATTTTGACTCCTTTTGGTCCATTTGAAAGAGCTGAACAAGTACAGGAGACTACGGAGATAAAACAAGTTGCAGTTGCTGGGCAGGGGCGGGAGTGCACGCAGTGGGCCTCGCCGCCGGCCGCCAGCTTACTGTCGCAGTCCCGCGGTCACAGACCCTGACTCGCGTGGAGATGCCAGCGCCCTGGTGAGTCAGGTGCACAGCTGGATGCAGGGGCAGCTGGGCAGCAGGAAGCCCAGACAGCCGCCGAGGTGCAAACACAAGCTGGCACCCGGGCTTCCTGAGCAGGCTGCCCAGGGACGCGAAGCTGGCGTGACTACTGTGGCTGAGATTCCAAAGGTTACTTTCCTCTTTGTTCCGCTCCCAGGTCTGTTGGAGTAGTTTCAGATGAGAATTTTCCTAGAATTCTTGGTTAGTTTTGCTGTGTTCAGATCTGCCATTAAGAATTCTGTCACCTCGCGTAAGTCCCCAGTTCCTCCGAGGAGGAGGCAGAAGGGCCCCTGCTTTTGTCCTGCAGAGGATGGTCCTTACCCGAGTGCACACCGGGGACGGAGGAAGTGGTCCTCTGAATGAAAATGATTTTGCAAAGTTTAGGCAAATGCTATCACGAGAGACGGATGTCTCCCACGGTCTTTCTCACTGTCCTCTAGAGCGTTCAGTCCAGAAATGGCCAGCAAAGGGTACGCTACTGGTATCGCTCTTGCCCTGGGGCACTGTCTCTGCCTTTCTGATGATAAAACAGTGACAGGGACAGCAGGTGGTGTAGTGGTTACGTCGCTGGACGCCCACATGGTCGACTGTGGTTCCAGGCCTGGACCTGATGGCTTAAAACTCACACCGGGCGCGTGTGCATGTGTGCCTGAAATCCCAAGAGGTGGATGAAGAAGGGATTGTGGCGTGAGTTCTCACTTTCTCTCTCTGTCTCTCTGGCAAGTACATGCGCCCTATAGCAAAAAACAAAAACAAAAAACAACTCTCTCTTAACACACACACACACACACAATCCATATTTTGCAGTACAACCCTGAATGCACATATACAGAAATCTCACTGTCTCACAAAGTGGTGGCTATGATAGCTGCAGTTCTTACTTTCAGTACACTCGTTTTCCCTTCTAACGTGATATGACTTCCTGAATGATGTGTGCAGTTTCACGATCTATGCCTAGGGGCTAAAATGCCACCTCTGCAGAAGCTTCAGTCGGGCTTGGCTTAATGACCTGCCTGCCCCGGCCGTTCGGCACCCTGCACGGTGCTCCGTGTGTATGGTGGGTTTCACGGGGTGGGGGCGGGGGGACTTGAGGACAGGTCTCTGGGCTTAAAGTAGGGCCTTTGTCCTGGGGCTTACTGTGCAGCTCGGATGCAGCCCCACCTGCACTGGGGGCAGCCCACATCACCTTGTCCCTGCCTGCCCTGTCCAAGCCCCAGACAGACAGAATGGACCAGCTTTACGCCTCTGCCTGCCACCAGCCGCCTCGTTGTCTTGTTCAGAGCAACCAGAGTACATGTGGTTTTCAAGGAACTAGATTTGTTTCTGTTTGGTAACTCAGTAACCCATCCATTCACGTATTATTCTGTTGTCTTCTTGCGTCTGACAGGTGGCATTTAATATTCACCGAGAGGAGTACACGGAGTAGCCGCAGGAGGCCTCTCAGGAAGCGCAGCGAAGGATGCCAGGATGGGAAAACCTTGACGTGCCCGCGTCCTCCCCCTGCACGGTGTTCCGTTCTTTCGCAGTCTCAGAAAAAATGGCATTAAAAGAAAGCATTTTGTGAAATCAGAGCCTTTTCCATTTTCCCTGACCACATGTATTAAAATGGACATCTGTCCTACAAAATACAAAGGTCTACGGTCTCGAAGAGGCAAGCGCCCATTTAAAACTGCCCCTAAATAAAAACAGACCTGAACGGACGTGAGAATGTTTGTTAGTGGCAGGAGAGTTAAAAAATGGCAGTTCATGCAGCTATTTGCCACATGCTTTATACTGAGCCTCATGGTCTTCTGGAGGCCGATCGATGACCGCATCGTGAGCCACATGAAGTCCTACTCTTACAGGTACCTCATAAACAGCTACAGCTTTGTGAACGACACCCTGTCTCTGAAGCACACCTCAGATGGGGCCCGTTACCAGTACTTGATCAACCATGAGGACAAGTGTCAAGCACAAGACGTCCTCCTCCTACTGTTTGTGAAGACTGCTCCTGAAAACCACGGGCGACGTTCTGCCATCCGAAAAACGTGGGGCAATGAGAAGTACGTCCGGTCTCAGCTGAACGCCAACATCAAAACTCTGTTTGCCTTAGGAGCGCCTAGCCCATCTCAGGGAGAAGGACTGCAAAGAAAACTGGTGTGGGAAGATCAACTGTATAATGACATAATTCAGCAAGACTTTGTTGACTCTTTCTACAATCTCACTCTTAAATTTCTTCTACAGTTCAGTTGGGCAAATACTTTCTGTCCGCATGCCAAGTTCCTTATGACGGCTGACGATGACATATTTATTCACATGCCAAATCTCATCGCGTACCTTCAAAGCTTAGAGCAAATGGGCGTTCAGGACTTTTGGATCGGCCGTGTTCATCGTGGTGCCCCTCCTGTTAGAGATAAAAGCAGCAAGTACTTCGTCTCCCACGAGATGTACCAGTGGCCGGCTTACCCTGACTACACGGCCGGGGCTGCCTACATCATCTCCAGCGACGTGGCCGCCAAAATCTACGAGGCTTCGCAGACGCTCAATTCTAGCCTTTACATAGACGACGTGTTCATGGGCCTGTGTGCCAACAAGATGCGGGTCGTACCCCAAGACCATGTGTTTTTTTCTGGGGAAGGTAAAACTCCTTATCACCCCTGCATCTATGACAAAATGATGACATCTCATGGACACGTACAAGACCTTCAGGACCTTTGGAAGGATGCCACGGATCCTAAAGTCAAAACTATCTCGAAAGGGTTTTTTGGTCAACTCTACTGCAGGCTAATTAAAATAGTCCTGCTCTGCAGACTAACATATGTGGACACATACCCGTGTAGGGCTGCGTTTGTCTAGCAGTACTTGAATGCCGTATGTCTTCACTGTCACTGAGCCGGATCTGGACGGACACCTTCAACGTGTGTCCCCACTCTAAGTACAGTCAGTCTGAAAGACACTTTGCAAGCCGCCTAGCCGGGTGTTTCTTGGATTCTAGGAACTCTTCAGTATAACTCATCTACTTCATTGCCTGAATTCATTTCAAGGAACTCATACTTAGGAAAGATCTCTGTTACTCATGGCAGTGGAAGTACAGGCGTGGTCAGGTTCCTTCTTAGTGCCACGTGTGGGCTGGAGGTGTAGAGCAGTTACTAAGAAGCCTTCGTGTTAGAATAACTGCTTTTGGGAATCCCAAGCGATTGCGTAGTACAACACTTCAAAGGAGTTAATACACTGTTAGACCCAGTACATGAGTTTATTTTTGATAAAGAGCACTTGGCAGAGGTGATGGGGCAGGGAAGGGCTGGCATGGAAGAAAGCATGAATCTGGTAAAAGAACGCCTCTTGTTCTTAAGAGCAGGTATATGTGACGATGCGTGTGGTTTCATTAACCGCCGAATCACTGTCAGGTCCGTGGAGCTATTTCACCTAGATAGTGTTAGTCACTTAAACTATTTATATCTTTTTTCAGAGCTTAATATGAAATCTGAGAATCGTTAGCTCTGCCCAAACTGGTACTTTGTCTATTTTTTAATATTAGAAAATGACACCAATTTGGGCAGTTTGTTGCCCTAGGAAGAAATGATTGTTAATTCAAATAAGCTGATTTTAATGTAATGAATTTTTCAGCTGATTTTTAAATATTCAATACTGGTCTGTATTTAAGGTAGTTATTTGCTATAGTTTGCTTAGAAAAATATAATTAGAGAGACTTAAAAAGAAAAAAATAGAACATTAAAACCTTTTTCTCCCATAATTTATAAAATGAAAAGTGTCTAACTCATTGTGCTAATTGCTAAAATTAGCTCACCCCTCCCCGTCAGTGTGCCGGAGACCACAGTGCTCTGCTCCAGGTTCAGAGGTCTCTTTGTTTGTTTGTTGTTTGTTTTTTACGTTTTTGCCATAGGGCACATGCACTTGCCAGAGAGACAGCGAGACAGAAAGTGAGAAACCACCCCCCCCCGGGGGGATGCCATACCACAATCCCTTCTTCTCCTGTAATTTTGGGCACGCACGCACATGTACCCGGCGTGGGTTTCAAGCTGCCAGGGACTCGAACTGTGATCGGCCGTGTGGGAGTCCAGCACCTTAACCACTACACCACCTGCCCTCCCCATCCCCAAGTTCAGAGTTTAAATTGGGAGTATTAAACATCCAATTAGAGCTATAATATGTAACACAATCTATTCTTTCATCAAATAAATACCAGAGATGGTCTCTACCTTTTAGATATTTCAAACTTGAAAGAAGAATAAAAGTGAATTTAAAAAAATGGGTAGAACGAGGTTTAAAGCATTTGTAAAGCTACATATTCTTTAACCAAAGAGATGGGCTGCGATCTGAAAGTAGTTACTTTTATTTTACCAAGAAGGGTAGCAGTGTGGCCATGGACCTCCTCTTAGTACAGAGAGAATTAGGCATGTCTCTTGCCAGGGAGACTATGAAGGACAAAACAGTAACTTCAGCAAGAACAGCGGGACTGACTTTAAAGGCTTTGGCTGCTGAGGCACCTGTTAGGGGGTACGGATGGCTCATTTCTTAAGGCGACGTCTGAAATATGTATAACAAAACTAGAGAAGATTTCTTGGTATGTAAAACTGGATGATGATATTGATCATTTTTAGCAGGTAGCTTTTCAATGTTTACAGAATTTTTTGTTGTTGTTCATTGTTTTCCTCTTTTGAAATTTGAGGCTTGTTTACATTGCTTAGATAATATTTTTAACTAATGTCAAAACTGTAATGTCTTGATTATAGTTACTTTCAAAATAGGTTCAGGGTTTTAGATCATTACTGTTTAGAAATTCTGACCAATTTTAAAAGCTGTAGAGAACAAAAGCACATTTTGACGAAGCAGGTTTATAATTAACTTTTATTAGTTGGTTCTTTAATCATTTGCCTTTCAGCCAATACATCTAGAATAGATATCCCCTGTCTGTCCATATTTGGAACTGTTTAAATTTGCCCGTGGTTGAAAACATAGGCGTCTCTCTGGCTATCGAAGTGATCTTGTTTACAGCAATATTTTTGTGAAACAATTATTTATTTGCTGAAAGAGCTATCCTGAACTGTGTTCATCTTTTTTTGATTTTTTTTTGGGGGGGGGGGCTTAGAATATAATGGAACAGGTCTAAATTTAAAGGAAATATGAAGGCACTTCCTTTTTTATAAGAAGGAAGTTGCTAGATGCTTCCTACAGACTTAAGGTACGGAGAACATTATTTGTAAATAAAATTTTCTTCCTTTCTTTTGAAAAGGAAGGAACTTTCTGGTGCTCCAGTATAGGGCTATCTTTTGAAAAAACGTCCACAAAGGGAAAACGAACTTTCGACCTGGAGGGCCACTTGAGTAGAAGCTGGTTATACACAGTGTTATCATTAAACATTTTTTACCTCTCGGTTGGTTTGCATTTTTTTTCCATATTATTAATTTTATACCAAAATGTTAAATATTTATATTATTGGAATTTTGCTCTGATATGACAATATAATTAGTAGATTTAAAAAACATCTGTGATTTCCAATAAACGATGTAAAAATTGCCAGCCGATGTGTACTTAAACTTCTGCATGAATCTCATTTGTTTATGTAGGTCTTGGTTCTGTGATGTCAGAGAGGTGTGTGCTACAGGGTTGTAGCCCTATTCCTGTTCAGATGAGCCACCGTGCCCATGGCCTCTGCGTAATGGAGCCCCCGAACGTGGCTCTGTTCGATGGCTTATGCTGCAGCGTCTAGGTAGGGAACGTTGCCTGACAGTTTGCTCCAGAAGGGGTGAAATAAGGACCTGTAACCACAGTGCCTTAAGCCACATTTGAAAAGGTTGTATTTTCCTTGTATTCGATATTGTTAGTGGTCTGAAAGTGTTGATGGATTAAAATTCAGCCCTAGTCTCTTTTTTTTTGGAGAGGTTTTCACTATAGGGTGCATGCACTTGCCAGACAGACAGAGAGAGACAGAGAGACAGAAAGCGAGAAATCACCCTCCAGGGAGGATGGTCACGCTGCAATCCCTTCTCCTCCATTCTCCTCTCGGGATCTTGGGCACGCACGCACACGCGCCCGGCGTGATTTTTTTAAGCCACTGGGGCCGGGACGTGAACCGCGGTCGACTACGTGGGAGTCCAGTGACATAGCCATTACGCTAACTGCTGGTCCCAGCCCTAGTCTCTTAATGTCAGGAATGTTCTTACGCTCCTCGAGGGCCTTCGGTGCTTTGGTATGTTGGCACGTATATGCACTCATCTGTTTTCCATCTGACTCCCACTCGGTTTCTGGCTAGTGTATAGTGTGATGTTCTCTCTACACACACACACACACACACACACACACACACACACACATATATAATTCTAGAACTTGGAAGCATCCGGATTGTTGTGGTAGAACTTACTTACAAGGCATAGGTGGAGTATTTTTGGTTGGAACTGAAATGGTTACTTGGAAGAATTACCTTGATGTACCTGGGGACTTCAGCTGGACACCACAACTGCTGTGAGAATGGGACCAGGGAACTTTTTGTATTCTTTTAATTTGCTATAGGGCACATGCGCTGGCTGGAGAGACAGAGGGAATAAGAGAAACCACCCCCCAGAGGGGATGACTATGCTGCAATCCCTTCTCCTCCACTCTCCTGGGAATTTGATCACACACGCACACGTGCCGGGTGTATTTATCAAACCACTGGATCCAACACTCGAACAACCCAGTTGGCCCTGTGGGATCCAGCCGTCTCCACCACCCCCACTTGGCTGGCCTGGACCAGAGAACGCGACATCCAGCCCATTCTGCTGCAGTAGTGAGGAATGCTGAGTGTCGCAGTTTCCCTTCCAGCCCTGTCATTCTGTGGGGACAGAAGTCTAAGCGCAGCTTTCACTAGAATATTCCCTTCCTCCAGAAATGCACAAAGTCTCCGTCTCGCCTCTCGCGTCAAAGTCTAAACGCTCCGAACTAGTTTTCCAGGCCCTGGGTAGTCTTTGCCCTTCTTCCCCAGTAGCTTGATTCTTCTCCCACTGCTGCTCTCCCCAGCGCAGATCTTGTTCACGACTGCACCCGAAACTGGTCTCCTTGCCGAGAACAGCTCTCGGAGACCCAGTCCCACCTTCGCTTCTTCAGCAAGCATCCCCTGCCCTCTTCCCCAAGTCTGTGATAATCGCATGTTCCACTTTCCCTCCTACTCACTGTTCCCTGTGATTCTTCATGCTCTAAGTCCTGAAGGCAGGGACTTGGCGCAGGGCATCATACGACGCTCAAAATAGTCATTTCCCCCCACATATAATAAGACGAGCCATTCAGACATGAAGAGATGAACTATTCAGAACCCCGGGTACCTGCTTGTGTAGCCCCTCGCACAGTCTACTGAGTTGTCGGGAAGGCCAGGGCATATTTTTCTGTGCAATAATGTGTCATGACTCCACAGCCCAATACGTCAAAGTTTATCCTTTTTGTAACAACATCAGAATGCTTTCTACATGCTAGGTACATTGTACCTTCCAACTCTAGACTCAATAAATTTGTATTAATTCGATGTTGAAACTCGAATCTTAAAGGGTGAAAAAGAAAATAAAAATTAAATTGTTACAGTACAGATTGGTCATTTTAAGGTATTCATTGAAAGCTGGTGGTAGAACAAAACAGTTGTGTAGATTCTCTTATCTCCTGATGAATTTACTGGCTAATTCTGCCTTTTCTCAAAGTTCTTTGGTAAGAACATAAAGATATTTTTGTTTCATTAATAAATGCTATAACTTTTTCCCTTTGTGTTTCTCGGTAGAGGTATGATTTCATGGTCTATTATAAATTAATATGGTAATTTAACAACTAGTTCAAAGATACACTTAACTAAGACCCTTGTAATTATAAAGTAGATCAAGGTTTTAATAATCGACAAGTCCTGAAAGATCCACTGTCACTCTGGGAAGACAACAGAATACGTCATTGCCAAATGGTGCTTTTCAGAGAGGACCCCACTTCACACTCTTACTTTCAAATATATTGAATTGGATCACTCAATAATTCAGCAATGAATTTCTATCAGTAAAAACCCACCCTGCATAGGTTTTCTTGAGTGTATCTTAAAGTAGAAGAACATAAAATCGTCGAATAAACTACTATTGGCTTTCATCAAAGGGCCAGTTCTTTTTTGAGGGACATTTTTGTTACAGAGTGTATGCGCTCGCCAGAGAGACAGAAAGCAAGAAATCACCCCCCACACCACTCCCGGAAGGATGGCCACGCCGCAGTCCCTTCTCCTCCATTCTCCTCTTGGGGTTTTGGGCACGCATGCATATGCACCTGGCATGAATTTTAAGCCACCGGGTCCAGGACTCGAACCACGGTCACCTATGTGGGAGTCCAGCTACGTGCCATTATGTCATATGCCGGTCCCAAGGAGTAAGTTAAAAGATATTTTTCATTCATTCTATAGACATTTTCTTTCCTTTCTGGTAGGCGAGGCCTGCTAGGAGTCAAACGTTATAATACATCCTACGGATAAAAGCAGCTCACGAGGCAGATGGTGTGAGTGTAAATATTGACTCCCTAGAGTAGGGAGTGTGGTGGAGTCCTAGAGTATAAAGATTGGGGGGAAAACGCTTGTTTTGCCCCACGCTTTTGGCCTTTACCCTCCTAATGCTGTGTACGGGTTTCCTGAACTGCAGGACACTCACTGCGCATACACACCTTTCTGTAGACCAAACATAACATTTGTATAAATTGTATCTTTTGGGCACCAAGAGCTTTCAAATGTGTTTAAACCAATTACTCATACAGTAATGTGTTTCCTTGAAAGCTGGGTTTATAAGATGTATTTTACTTGCTTTTGTGAGCTTCGTGAGTTTCTTCTCAGGTATACAAACGCAGGTTAGAGTATGAATAAGTTCTAGTTTTTAATCTGTGAGCCCCTGGCCCGGCCCTGGTGCAGTCTCACCTGGCAGGGGGGAGGCCTTCCTCGGAATCACTCCGCTCCACCTCAGGGTTCTCCCTGCTGGGACCACTTCCAAGCGCGTCTTCATTCTGAAGTGAGAGGAATTTTGGTAAGATGTGGTATTTTGGGTCCTCTTAACATGTTTCATCCCCCTCGGTTTCTGTGTTTGCGTTTAGTTTTCCTTCTAGATGGGCGACGCCCAGCTTCACGGCTGGCTCTCCTGGCTTTCCCCAGCCTCGCGGTTCGCTGCAGTCTGCCTTTCAGGCATCCCTTCGGAACATCAAAATCTCATTTTTTTAAAGTTTTACCAGAGGGCACATGCACTCAGTGGGTGGGGCGGGGAAGAGAGAGAGCCCTCCCCCTGGGGGGTGGTCATGCCACAATTCCTTCTCCATCTTTCCCCTTCTGGATCTGTAGGCGCACATGCATACATGCCCTGTGTGTTTCCCAAGCTGCCGGATCTGGGATTCAAACTGAGCAGTCGGTTATGTGGGATGCTGCCACCTTAACCACCATGCCGTGGGCTGGCCTGTCTCCCTTCTCCCTAAACGTGAGAGCTCTCTGCACCGTGCTTCTCCCTCCCCCATGGAGTCGTGAGAAAGAGTCAGAGTTGGAGCTAAAAGGAGCAGTGAGTAGGTCACATGATTTAGTAGGCCCCTTTCTGAGGCTCTAAATCAAGGTTTGGAGAAGTTGCCATTTACCCAAGGCCAGGAAGAGCTAGCAGAAGTGAGAGTAGCCCAGTGTCGGCTTTTGCAGACTGGCGAGCACAAGTCCCATGCATCCCAAGTGGCCAGTCCTGCAGGCAGTAATGCATTTGGAGGAGTGGCCCCTGGTGCAGGCCCTGACCCCAGCTTGTGGCTGGAAGCCCCGCTCCACCACCTGCCAGCCCGAGACCGTGGCCAAGCTATTTCACTTGTACCTGGATTCCCCGCCTAGAATGTGGGCCCCATGGCATTATCTACTCCACCCAGCTGTAGCAAGATTAAATGAGCACAAATAAATGTTTCATACAGTGCCTGGCAGGCAGGAGGCATTCAAGCCCTGGTTAATTATTTATTAGTTCCTAATTAATTTTATGATACGCTCATTACTATCAATATGTTACATAAATTGGGTTCATCACTAAAACTGTTTTCTTGAGAGCAAACTAAGTAGAACTCTTGCCTCTTTCTGAGGGTTAGATACCTAGTATCATTCTGAAAGAGTCATGCTTATTTAGTATGGAGAAGACACTGTCCTTATTCCTACAGAGAGCAGAGAGGATACTATTTGTCTTCACATAAGCCGAGTACCTAGAATGTGGCAAAGTATTTGTAAATTAATAAAAGGGGTAGTTGAGACCAGCAAGCGGTGTGGTGTTTAAGGCACTGGACATGGCTGACTATGGTTTGAGTCCCAGACCTGCTGGCTTGCTTTCTTACTTTCCCTCTCTCTCTCTGTCTGTCTCTGGTGAATTGAAAAATAATAATAATTAATAAAATTATATACACAATTATTTTAAAAAATAAACAAAGGAGGTAATTTTCAAATACCATCTTCATAAGACATTGTTTTTCTAAGTGAAGAGCTAAGTCGCTTAAGTTGTATTTGCATAGTTATTTTTGTTGTTTTTATTTTTAGATTTCTGCTATAGGGCAGGTGCACTTGCTGGAGACGGAAAGAGGGAAAGTGAGAAATCACCTCGGGGGTAGGGGGGTGGCTGTGCCAAAATTCCTTCTCCATTGTCCTCTCAGGATTTGGGGCACACATACACACATGCCCAGCGTGTTTTTCAAGCTGCGAGGTCCAGGACTTGAACCACACAGTCAGCCATGTGGGATCCAGCCTCCACAACCACCATGCCACCTGGGTGACCCCCAAGTCTCAATGAATTATATACGACGCCCTTAAAACAGAGCAGCTTGTGAAATCAGACCCTGTTTTCTATCACCCAGACGGGGAGGTGCCCTTCTGGCAGACCTCAGGAGAGGGAGCTTCCTCAGCCCGCGGGTGCTGTCAAGGGAAGCAGCTCGCCAGCTCCCTGGTCCAGAGCCCCCTCCCCTCACTGTCATTTTATCCTGAAGAACCAAGGGGCGATGAAGGCAAGGGGGCTGGCACTGCTCTGGGCTCCTCCCCATCCTTTCTGGTTTCGCTGTGACACACGCCAGCACACAGGGTCCTCAAAGCACCTCGCATGTTGACGCTATGCCTCCTCAACAACGTACACACTCTACAAATGCCGTCTCCTCTCATGTCAAAGAAATACATGCTTCTACAATCGAAAACATGGGTGAAGTTCCTGGTCTGAAGGAAGTTCATCTAAATTTTATTTCAACTTCTCTTCAGAATATATACATCATTTAAAATGTATATATATTTTTTCTTTTTTTTGGAGAGGTTTTTGCTATAGGGCGCATGTGCTTGCCAGACAGAGACAGAGAGACAGAAAGCGTGAAATCACCCCCTGGGGGGATGGTCACGCTGCAATCCCTTCTCCTCTATTCTCCTCTCGGGATCCTGGGCACGCACGCACATGCGCCCGGCGTGAGTTTAAGCCACCAGGTCCGGGACGCGAACCGCGGTCGACTACGTGGGAGTCCAGCGACATAGCCATTACGCTAACTGCTGGTCCCTTAAAATGCATATTTTGAAAGGTATCAGTAGCTCATCTTCCACCGATTGGGCTTTCTTCCCTGAGAGAGAGCAACTTTTGAATGGAATCAAATTAGTTTTCCCCTGATGTTAGAGGGCTTCGCTTCATGATTTCAGGAATGCGTGAGAACCAGTTTGATTTCCAGCTGTCTCACAGCAGTGCTCTCCAGTCACGCAGGGTGAAAGTATGATGGACATTTTGCAACCCTTAAACAGAGGGTCTGTAAGACCCGGCCTGAGAGAAGAGATAAGGCAGCATCGAAGGGTTTCAAGTACAGGAGCGAGCGTGAAGTGTAAGAGGTACGCTGGGTCAGAATCACTGAGTGACGGCCAGGGTTTTCCCTAGAGGGTGTAAGAGGCGGTAACGGGAGAGAAAGAAACCTCCCGAAGGGGATATTCACCCGGGACCTACTGAAACGCAACGGCTTCTGATAACGCCCAGGAAGAACTCCGGGAAAGCAGACGCCACTTAGGGATGCATTTTGGGAGCTGATTCCTAGCTGGTCTGCCCTATGTGCTCCATCTCACGGGCCCTCTCAGCGCATCTTTCCCTGCGCCTCATCTGTGTTGCCTGGAAAAGCCACTGCATAAGGGTCCTGTCCAGGGCCACCGGGCGGTCAGTCCCTTCGTAAGCCAGCGGTTCCAGGAGAGCCGAGCGGCTGTGGGCGCCTCTCCACACGCTGCCCTGAGCTAGCCCTTTCTGATGGCCCACCTCCAGTCCAGCCGAGCTGCACGGGGAAGAGGTCCGCGAGGAGGGAAGGGGAAGGCTGTAGGGAGTTTTACAGAGTGACGCCCCTGGGAGGGCAGGGACAAGCACAAACGCTCCTGGGGCTTTATGAACATGGGAAATGGTCATTAGAGAAAGACAAGGAAGTGCGTTGCATGTCCACCTGCCTCCTTAAAAGTGTCCTCAGGATCTCTTTCATCCAACACTCTTCATTTCTCAGCTAGTGTTATCAAGAATTCAATTTTGGGAACCAGCAGTTGGCGTAATGGCTATGTCGCTGGGCTCCCACGTAGTCGACCGTGGTTCGCATCCCAGATCCGGTGACTTAAAACTCATGCCGGGCGTGTGTGCGTGCAGGCCCAAGATCCTGAGAGGAGAATGGGGGAGAGGGGATTGCGGCGTGACCATCCCCCCTGGGGGGTGATTTCTCGCTTTCTGTCTCTATGTCTCTGTCTGGCAAGTGCACGCACCCTATAGTGAAAATCTCTCCCCCCAAAAAAAGAATTCAATTTTGATTCTGGTTAAATTGATTTTCAGAGGCTGGACTGACCCTATCATTCCGCTACCATTTCACTCATGGGGAAATGCCGTCTAGCACAGCCTACCCCTGTTATTAGAGTAATGATCTATGTGTCTGCTCTTCTGTTTGAGAGATCAGAGACGATGACGTGGCACGCAGTCCCTTCCTCCCACTCCCAGTCAAGAACACGAAGAGGAGGTAAATGTGCCGAGGACATCGGAAGGAAGGCACACCCTGGACCTTGTCAGGCCGCTGGATTCCCTGGGACTCTAACTTCATTGCATACACGTCGGTGTAACTTCATTTTACCTGTAAATCTGACTGCACAAACACAGTAACACATTAGACAGTGTTCTGGTGGGTCAGTCTTCGCCTCAGCAGACCGCCCTCTAACCCAGTTCACAAATGGCCTCCGTGAGTGACCCGTACGGCTGCTATGGCGCGAGCGCCTCAAGAGCAGATTAGCCCCCACTGACAGCCAGAGGGTGTCGCTGCTGTGACAGAGGCTCCCCCGCTGGGCTCGGCCTTCTTAAGTCCCCTTAATGCATACGTTTCATGTTCCAGTTTTGATTATTTTAAAATTCAGGTTTCAAAATTTAGGGTACGGCACCTGCTGGGGAGAGGCAGTCAGAGGGAAAGTGAGAAATCACCCCAGGGTGATTTCATGTATGCTGCCCAAGATCCCAAGAGGAGAATGGGGGAGAAGGGGTTGTGGCATGGCCATACCCCTTGCGTGGTGATTTCTCGCTTTCTCTCTGTCCCTCCTGCAAGCGCACATGCCCTAGGGCAAAAACCTCTACCCCCCCCAAAAAAAAATCCCAAAAGCCACATGCCAGGTACATGTGCGTGCATATGTGTGTGCCCAAAATCCCGAGAGGAGAATGCGGGAGAAGGGACTGCAGCGTGGCCATCCCCAATGGGTGATTGCTCACGATCCCTCACTCTCTAGTGAATGCACATGTTTTATAGTGAAAGCTTTAAAAAAAGTTCAGATTCGGAAGCCCTACCCTAGGCCTCCTGAACAGAATCTGAGTGGAGAGCGGCTCTATACATTACCATAAGGCTCTCAGGGCTTCGGGACACAGGAAGCCGGGGAAGTCTTCCTTCTGGACACTTCGGAGAGCTTGGCAGGGGCTGCCTCGAGGACCTGGTGGGGTCCCTGAATCTCCTAGTAGCCCTGACACCGAGTAGGCCTCAGGCATCAGAGAAGGTGGGCACTGAAGCGTGCTAATGGTTCCTACAGTTCTCTTAGTGAAAGTCGGAAAGCTTCGGTGAAAACCGTCGAGACTCCAAGCAGTGAAAAGACGAGGAACTAATCCCCCCACCTCCACCCCCGGTCTGTTATCATTCGGCAAAGAGGTGCATATTTGAGATTAGAGAATCCCACGGAGGGCCGGACAGACAGAGTGCCGGACAGACGTTCGCTCTGCTTCTACACAGCAGCCTTCTATCAACACGGAGTTAGACGAGAAAGTCAGGTTCACTGAAGACCTGCTGTGTCAGACATCATAGAAGGTACTTTCTAGGTATTTTTCATTTAATCAACAACCTCTGAAATTCCCCTTCTGATTCCCGTTTTGCAGAAGAGATTTAGGATATGAGAGACTGACTGAGTAAATAGGCAGATTAAGCAAATAATCAGGGAGATAAGGAAACTGCTAGATTAATAAACTGCTCATTTCAAATCCCAGCTTCACCATTCACTAACTGCCTGACCGGTGGGGCACGAGCCTCTGTCTCAGCTCTGCCGCTGAGACGGGAGCAGCACCGTGCTCACGGGGTGCTGAGGACTGGGGATGCGATCAGGCATGGGCAGCACCACGCCTGGTCCCAGGCGTTCACGACCCTCTTCCCCCTGCCGTTCTCCCCAGTCTGTGCTGTCTTACACAAAGAACAAAGTTATTAGGAACCTGCTTTCTCAGAAGCCTGGCAGGCCTCTGCTCCCTTAAAGGAATTGCATAGGTGCCCGGACACGACACGGCTAGCTCCTTCATTGTGTGTCCACACCATGGAAGAAAGAGGTCTCGTCAGCCTCTGGCTCGTTCCCCTGGAGAGGCTGTGATGTGAGCACCCAGAGAAGACAGCCATGAGTCAGGCTTCTGCTTGAGTCGGTGACGTGGAGAACAGGAAATAGCCCCAGCACCACTGCCAATGACCACAGCGAGTCTGTCACCGCCGGCTCTTCCCAGATGGCACTGAGAGCCCAGCCTGAGTCAGCGAGGTCGCCAAGTGGCCTGGGAGCATCTGGCTGCCTGGCCGAGTGCAGCTGATCAAATCCCTGAGAACTGGCACAGCGCGGTTCAGGACGCCTCCTGGGGAGTGCATTCTCGCTGCAGGCAGTCCCCGGGACTCCAGGAGAGGTCAGGGACGGCCTTGGTTCACAGCTGTTTGCTCTGGTATTTGCTCTCAGGGCAAGGAGTGGCTTTATCACGTATGATTCATTCTCCAGCACCACCTGGAAGGGCCTTTCCCTCTGGGTTCGAGCCTTAGGCCAAGGGATGTTGGTTAGGACCCAGAGTCAGACGGCTGTCTTCCGGCCACCTGCTCGGACAGTGGCCACACCGCGCCCCGCCATGACCATTCTGTCCACACACATGTGGATCTAAGCCTTTTCTTCCTAACCCACCTTTTTCTTTTTTTAAAACTAGCTTTCCTCCTTTTTCTTTCAGTTTGCTATTTCTGATCAGTTTTATTGATGGTTTCATTTAGCACTTAAATTTCTCACCAAATGAGATTTCAATGTTCCATGAATTAAAATAGAGCCTTTTAAAAGTTTCCTTACGTATTTATTTTTATTGTTTACCTTTTTTAGTGATGGCCAGAGGGCACATGCACTCAGGAGAGAGACAGAGAGAGAAAGCATCTCCCAGGGGGCTTTGGTCGTGCCACAAGCCTTTTTCCTCCTTTCTTCCTTCTTGCCGGGATGCTGGGCATGCACGCGCACGTACCTAGCATAGTTTTCAAGCCACCAGGGCTGGATTTGAACTGCAGTCAGCCATGTGGGACCTAGCTCCCTTAATGACTGAACAGGGCCAGACCTTACAGGTTTTAGAACAGCTGCCCAGCTTGTGAAACGCGAACTGCACGGGCTGATCTTAAACTGGCTGCTAAGTCTAAGAGGCGGGACTCGGTGCACGAGCCCACTTCCTTTCTACTTCCCTGTTCACGACTTTACGGCTTCTGCTTCCATTTCTTCTCACCCCTTGGCCTTTGCAAGCACACGTTTGATCCCCCTCTGCCCCTGCCCTGCTGCTTCGGCCATCCTGACTGTTACCACATACGGGGCTGAGGGAAAAGCCCTTCCCTAAACACAAGCCAACAGCAGGGACATGCTAAGCACCGCCGATTCGGACTCGAGCGGTGTGTGCCCATGGGCGATCTGCCCTCCGCAGAGGGAGCACCCTGCAGGACAGGCTTGGCACCTGAGTTACAGGAAGAGCCTGGCAACAGGAAGAAACCAAAGGCTTTGGTTTATGGGATTCTACTTAAAACTTTCCTAGCCCATAGGCTTCCGGTTCTATCCCTAACCTGCCCTCCTGCAGAGTCTATATTTTTTTATACAAATGAAACAACAACACTTTCGTTATTCAGAATTACTAAAATAATTCACTCCTGGGAACAGCAGTTGGCGTAATGGCTATGTTGCTCAACTCCCATGTAGCCGACGTGGTTCAAGTCCCGGACCTGGTGGCTTAAACTCATGCTGGGTGTGTGTGCGTGCATACCCAAGATCCTGAGAGGAAATGGAGGAGAAGGGATTGCAGCGTAGCCATTCCCCCTGGGGGGTGATTTCTTGCTTTCTGTCTCTCTGTCTCTCTATCTTTCTGGTGAGCGCATGTGCCCTATAGCAAAAACCTCTCCAAAAAAAAAAAAGAAAGAGAAAGAAAAGAAAAGAAAGAAATCACTCCTATTTGGATTCTTTTATGTGAGAGCCTCCACATACCGAAACTCCCATGGCATCCTTACAAAGTGTGTGGGCATACCTATGTCGTGTGGAGGTGGGCAAAGTACCTCGCAGGGCTGAAGTGAGTCTGAACCCCGTCATGAGTCAACAGCAATAGCATACGGGTTCAGAGGCCCAGTCTGGGCAATGGGGTACATGACACAATCGCCCTCGGAGATGACCTTTCTGAGAAGTCCAGGGTGTGGGGAGAATAGGCTAATGTCACTTTGGATGATGATTGTAATTGAACAACAATTTTTTAAGAGGTTTTTGCTATAGGGCGTGTGCGCGTACCAGACAGAGACAGACAGAGAGACAGAAAGTGATTTCTCCCCCCCCAGGGGGGATGGCCATATAGCAGTCCCTTCTTCTCTTGGGATCTTGGGCACGCACACACGCACGCACATGCACCCGGTGTGAGTTTTAAGCCACCAGGTCCGGGACGCGAACTGTGGTTGACTACATGGGAGTCCAGCGACATAGCCATTACGCTAACTGCTGGTCCCATAATTAAACGACTCGTAGTGTGTTTAATACAACTGAACGATCCTGCGGCCTTCGTGGGCATCGAGCTAGGTGAAGTCTCATTGTTTATCGTTCCAGAAACTGCTGTTCATTTTTGAAATGGCTGCTCAAGACAGTGTGAAACTGCAAATGATCAGTGCTTCCTGACTTGAGAGGACATGGTGAAGCGATTCTCCCAACCACGAAGGATTCGAAGAGCAAGGACCGCTCCTACGGGCTGGAATACGGAAGGAGGACTAGCGGCTGGGCAGGGAGTACTGCTTGCCCTCCAGGGAAGTCTGCAGGGACTCCTCCCACCATGGGTCCGCCTGGGAAGAAACCAGAAGACCGCTTTCTGCCTGCCCCTGAATGGTCAGCGGAGATACTGTGGGCCCTATATTCAGGTTCTTGAGGGGCTGATGATGGCTCCCAA